CGTTATAAGAATAGCTTTATTATAAGATCTTGTATAAATTTTAATGAAAGTTAAGATCGAGAAACTTATATATATGTACTTATCTGTCCTTATTTTTAGATTGGAATTATTATTTATATGTTTAAATTTTATTATTATAATTATTATAATTGTAAATATGTAAATTCACAATTCAGCTTTAGAGCTGCAAGTTTTTTACAAAAAAAAACTATCTATCTATCTCCAGTTCCTTGCTATTTGTTTGTTTTCAGGTTCAATCAACGAGGAAGACTGGTAACAACATGGATGACGTCATCAATAATACACGTATATACACAAATTCCATTGATGTAGAATATTCATGTCAGTGTCAAAATCATGAAGAAACAAATCATAAAGGTTACAGAAACATTAAGGACTCGTTACAATAACCTCWCCCTTCCGCTGGAGCCATGAAGTTATTCAAAGAATCATCCCGGCGACACTCAGTAATCCTCAGTCGTTTGACAGATAAAAAATCGTTGTTCACACAAARTATCATCGTTGCTATTCTCGGGATTATTAGAGGAATTCCTCTTAACTAGGACTTATGTATTGTAGGACTTGTATTGTTAGCGGAAAAATGCAAATAGTTTCGTTTGTACGGTTAGGTATACAGTTTAAAATGGCTACCCGACTCAAATATATAAACTTGGTTTAGACAGAGAGGAACAAGACGACGAAACTCTTACCTTTTGCCTGGCCAATGGTGAATACACAAGACACTAATATAACTACCCAYCCAGTATTTGCCATATTTACCGTTCTGTAGTTATGTAATGCTGGCTATTTGCGCGAGAAGACAGCTGCCTTCAAAGACGTCTTCTCAGTGTGTTTGTGTGATGCCACGATAAAGGAAATATGAGCTCGTATGCTTTAAATTGTAATGTAATACGAGGGATCGTCAACGACCCAATCAATCAAGGATTTTGATTATTGAGCCATCAAGGGCAAAAGTTTAAAATCCAMTCACTGTAACCGTGAAATAGCTTGTTACAGTGGCATGAAAATATATCCGAAAAAATGTTTTGCAAACTAAATGATGTAAATTAGTGTAAAACTGAAATCCTTTTTATTCTCTTTTCAAATTAGTGCAATTTCTTACAAAATAATGAATGCAATCTGGATAAGAAATGATTGCACCAAATAGTACCAAATCCTTTGTCGTCTGCTACTTAGTCTGTGCCAATTRATCAATAGAAAAGTTGAACAATTTACAAAGTCAGTAAAACGGTTATTACTGTAAATTATTCAAATTACAAACAAAATGTCCTTTTACAAAGTTTGTAATGATTATACAATTTATTTACAYTGTTTGATCGAACAAAATTTACTAGATATTCAGACAGAATGTGCATAAAATGTACAKATTTTGTAAAAGGATACTTTGTCTGTAAATTCAATTTWCAGTTATTAATTAATTACAAACTCGGTYAACTAGTTTTCCACTGTTTCAAAACAACATTCGACTATTTTGGGATGCAATTGAACTATTGTGATAGCTTTATTTGAAGAGGGCATATTCGGCGTTTTTCCAACTATTCATGAATCATGTGAGTTCCTCTTCCGTATTTGTCAAGAGCTGGCTTTGAGTCAAGCACCAGATGAAGCACTATACCGGATACGGGGCAATAATGTATGGTTAGGAGTGGACGAAGTCAGCCCTGGCAGCCTAAGCTCATTAATTGGGTGTAAATTTACTCAAATGTAATCGAGATGGTTCATTGAGTGATAACACCACGGCATGGGCGGGGGCGATTTGGAAGGGTAAAAGGTACGTCTACATTTGGAGCGCATGTAAACAGGGAAGCAAGCTCATTCCGTCGCAGAGTCAGAAGGATTCGAATGAGACGCTTTAGTTTTGATCGATAAATATGGAGCTAACAACGACACCATTATACTGTTAAAGGACTCTAAAAGTCTAGTGGTTAGAATAAATTCAGGATTAGTGAAGGAATCATGGGTTTCACTTCTAGCAGACAACCTAAAGTCTATATCACGTATGTTCCAGGCCTCGCAGGAATAACATATAACGAAGCTGCAGACGTCCATCTAGCAGGAAAAGCTAAGCCTATTGGCCATATTACGKTAAGTCCTAAGGATGTATCAAACCGGTTAAGAGAAATAATAAGCGATGTGGAGGAAAGAAAAACTTGGTGGACGCTAAACCGTTTGAAAGAACTTGGCTATAGTTTTGGTGATGGAGCTAAATTTACAACAAGAAGGGCTGCACCTAAAATAACAACACAGCATGTCATGGGTGTAATAACCAAAAACACTCTTCGCGAGATTTTAATGAGGGGATGGTATGGTTGCTATGAACCAAGACAAAGACAATGATTTAGAATATACAGTCAATCCCATAATGTTTGTTCAGTTGTACTGGGATTGCGCCATGTTTTTTTCAGTGGGGGATCTAATGTGTGAGGGGGGCAGCAACATCTAAAATTAATTAGGCTTTCATTGGAAAATGAAAAATAAACGGTGTTAGAGTCTGTGCCAAATACTTACTGATCAGTGGAAAGCTTCTCAAGAAAAGTGTGCCACTTTTTGCGACAACTCTTTCTAGTATTCGGCGTAATTTTTTTTCTTCCTGAGAACTCTATAAAAACCTTTTTATGCAAATGAACAAAAATGCATAATGCCAAAGAACAAAAATGAGGTTATATAATTCTTTGCTTCTCGAGAATTGAATTTGTGTCAAGCAACGCCTTTCGGGTTCAACGTGATATCATCGAAGGCAATACCGAAAAGGATCATGGGAAAGCATGCAATGATCACAATATTGTGTGTTTATTAGGTGAAGTTTTTCAGCTCATTGTCTCAACTCAATAATCATCTCCTGCAATAACAAATGAGTTGATAAATTAAATGTTTMGGAAAATGCGACGTGAAATTACGAATACCCACAATCCCCTTCGGTCTTATCTTCATTAAATTCAAATTTTTTGAACAGGTTTTTATAGACCTCTGAAGCTTTTACGTCATTTTACCGTWAACGCAATGCATTGTAGGATATGTTTGAGACAGAACATGGCGGATTTCGTTTGTTTTATGTTGAAACTAATCCCACAGTGCACTGAGAATCAAGTAGTGAAGTAAAAGGTTCAGAAGTCTATTAGACGTATTCAAATTGAAGTAAAAACAGTATTACAATATGTTAGTTTTATTTCTWAAGTGACTGAAATAATCTTATTCTTTACAACTGTCAAAATAACATTTAATTAAGGTGAATTGACTAACTTTATTCTTGAATAAATAGCTGTATGGATTACAAAGAGAAGAGATATGTCTTGTGTATACTTAATGTATTCGATTTATAATCCAATAAATAAGGACGATACATAAATTAATTTCATGCTTTCGTATATTCGACAGCTACATTGTATATTTCAAGGAAAAGGGGGGTAGTTAACCCCCTCTATCCCGCATTGCAGTATCCTYAATATTTTAATAAAGAAATGCGKTGGWCATCTTCAATTTATGGAATGTCAGAACGCCAAAAACTCAAATTGACAAAGATAATTAAATATAAAACACTTTCTCTGATAGTCGCCATATTGATGCCTACGGTGAGGCACTGATGCCCACTGAAAAGAGGCTGTAAATTCACGGATTAACTTTATTTCATTCCAGACACTTTCCAGATCGATTTAATTARATTCCCTAAAAGTGAATGATACACCGTCGCCAAATCGATGGAAATTATAGTTTTTTGATAAATGTGTCATGGACGTTTTCACTACAGGAGACTGACAACAAATTCAAGATGGGAGTCGCACAAGTCTGTTTTTCTACTCAGGACATAAGCTGAGTTGTTCAAAATACGTCCACTGTTACTGTAAAAAGAGATTATTAGCCAAAAACTATAGCTTGAAATGAATTGGACTCCDTTGAAAAACTCGGCCAAAATAAATAAGGCAGTCCATAACCAAGTAGTATATGAAATACACATGATACATCGGGCACATTGATTATGAGGATACATGGAACAAGTCTTTGCTTTTGTTTTAAAAAAAACCCAGTGTTCTAAAGGATTATAAAAATGCGGTGAATTTAGAAAAGTGTGGCATAAGTTCAAAATAAAAAGTGTCTAAACTGAATATTGTGAAATTTAAAGCGTATGTAAAAACTGAATATATTAAAAAGACTGCGCACTAACAATCCATGAAACAAAATGATACTGATGAGTAAAAATAATAATTACTGACCTGGGTCAAACGTCGCCCCTAATTCTTGATTTTTCYAATTCAACTATTTATTGCTAAACTTGAGAAAGCCATTATTTGCAATAAAAGCTTTTTAAAAAAAAAATTTAAAAGAATTTGAAAATTCTCATGTTTGCCGTACTTCAGCCAAACTAAATTTCAAAAGTTTGGATACTTAGTTCAATTCTCTTAAATTAATATCTGATATGTTTTATTTTTAGAAACATATTTTTCCCCTGGACTACTTTCTTGCACTAAACAATGATTTTCTCCTGAAACTGAAGTTTAATTATAACAAGAAATTTGAACCGACTTGTTAGTTCCAAGAGAAAAAAGTTCGACGTTTGACTCTGGCCACAGACAATAGGACATAAAGGATTTAGGACTGAAATTTGGGTATTTTTGCGAATTAAAGGGACACTGTCAATGGCACGCATGCGCGAGTAAACTTGAAAAGACTAGGCTAGTGTTTTCAAGTTTATGACTCCAAGTTGGCGCGACATAAATCAGATCGTAAACGTAAACAGATCTAGAATATTCCAAAGTGTGTCAAAAGRACKACAAAATGATTTACCTCGAAGGTTATACTTTCAAAGTCCGTTAGAGGTGAGACTGTTACTGCGCATGTCATCCATTGACAGTGTCCCTTTAAGTATGGTCGGTCGTGAATTTAGTACGAAGACTTTCGAGAAGTTAAGGCTACTAAAGAGAATTCAAATTGTCCATACACTGATCATGATAGCAAATAATGAAATGAGATGTATGAAATATTTCGATGTAAAAACTACCTTCGTACTAGCCTTTGCTAGTTGACAATAGAATCTAAATCTATGTTGAAAGTTCTGAAAACCTCAAGAAAGATAGTCTTTCGAAAACTATCTGTATAATAAAACATTGTTTTCTTGCTTATAAAAAAATGGAAAGCTAAAAAGTTATAAATAGATGAACGTTTTTTTTTTCTTTTCTGATCAAGTCTCGCTTGTTAAACAATGTAATCAACCTTGTTTGTAGCTCTAGCGCTGTGGGAAGATTCTTTCAAGTCAAGCCAACATTCTTCGGCCACATACAAATGTAATTCTCTCAGATACTGARGGCTTTTTAAGATATGAAATGTTTTCCTTACTGCACTAAGAATACTTCAATTGCCTTACGCTAAACGTACCATTTTCTGGTTTTGATTCCGTCAATCAAAACTCCGAACTTCGCCGAAATTTCTCATTTCACCAAGAATCAGTTCCGATAAAATCGAAAATAAATCGCCATTTGACTTCGATTTTTATGTACGACACTTTGAATTTTCGGAGTTTTAATAGACGGGAGAAAAAGCATGAGGTGGCCGATCACCATTGCTCGAGTTCCTAAATTATGAAAATTGTAGCATACATGACTTGTCAAAAAAGTATACTGCTTCGTGTTTCTGCTCTAAAAAGCTGTCCAACAAACTTAACTTTGATGGATTTAATTCGCTTGTAAACGTTTGTATAAAGATGWTCTAAACGTTAGTAGTTCTTTGCGGACTGCTGTGTACTTCAACTAATGATGGTTGATCTTTGCTAGTGTCTTTACCTTGTGATAATAAAGCGTTTACCAACGAGTCTACTTTCTTTTCAAGTCTTTGAATATTGTCGGACATTTCTCGTACTTTCTCTTCCATTTGCGTCCGCCGACCTTTTTCGCTTTCACAGTCACTACAYGTTAGCTTAATGTCTGTAAGGACGGGATCTTCTTCGTCACCATCTTGATATCCTGACATTTGCAAATCTCCAATCGATTCATCATCTTCCTGTTCATCAAATTCATCTTCTTCTTCTGCACGAGTCGCGCTTCGCAAATCAGTAATATTGACAAATCGAGGTGAATGTACGCGTAAATTGTGATGCTCAGATTGGTTTCTGAAATCTTCTAAAGGTATAGGCTCTTCCTGAATACTTGATGTTTCTCCCGTTCTGCAGCCGAAGATCGGTCGAAGCCGGTACGTTTGGCTTACGAAGTGTCTCGACTCAAAATCGAGATGCTTTCGGTTTTTTAATTCCTTTTCGGATTGGATGAAATGGACATTRCCATTGACTGGCTCTTTCTATTAAAAAAAAAAAGAAAAAAAGATTAACCAGAAATTATAAATTATGTCTGTCTATGCAATGTGTAGAGTAATTTGTCGTCACAACTCTGAACAATTCAGCATTACTTCTCTCTCTGTTCTATGAACGATTATTGGCGGGGATCAAAGTAACGTTTATAACCGTTAATAGTGCATTTTTCATTTCATTAATGAATATATTTTTTCTCCATTTTCAAATTTTTTTTTTAACTTATTCATGCAACTTTACTGATTACCTCTTCCAAAGGCCAAGGGTCAGCAGTATCCATTAAGTTGAGCAAGAACTCATGAGTTTTAGAATAGGATTGCAAAACATCGGTTAACTCCTTYATCTTGATCACGTGACAATCGACACACGACGAGGCACGGAGACTGACGACGGACTGGGCTCTAGTTGATGCTTGTCTTAGAGTTGTTCCGAATGCGTCACCTTCAACTGCAAAATAATCAAGATTGATTGGCTGATTGATTAATTGATTGATCGACTGATTGATTGACAGACAATAACACTGATTGAGTCATTCATCTCATTATTTGAACTCATTAGCTTCGTAATTTGCAGGTTTATGACCTTTTCTCTTATGACACCATGTTTTTATTTGCGAATAGCATCATTATATTGATAAAGTAGCTTTTAGAACTAGAATTCTGGTCGTAAAATTGAACTTTATTACACAAATCTTACACTAAAGACTACAAGACAAACATGGCCGTTCTCTAACTAGCACATGGTTCCGCGCGCATGCCCGTACGTAATGACTGACGTGAGCATAATGAATATATAACAGTAGCAAGATCAAGTTTGTGTCGTCGGCTTCATAAAAACTACGGCAGGACGACTTGAAGTACACTTGAACATTAATAAAATACATATACGGTGTATTATAATGAGAAACTGCCAGTCCTTTTGCCATGTGGGATAGACTCGAAAATCAAATATGAGCATGCGAGTATGCGAGTAAAATACGAGCCTCAACAGCTTAATAAGTTTAGTTAGCTTGTTGATAAACTCACCAATTCTTCCTTTGTAATTTCCGTCCACAATTATCTCGATTTTACCCCTCTTTACCAGGTGAAGAGTGTTCACCTCGTCTCCTTCGTACACAATGAAGTGGCCAGGAAGGTGATGGTGTCGACGCATGCGCATTGATATACTTCTTAAACAGCTGCTTTCAGCGTCATGGAAGAGGAAGGAGTTTGAGAGAACAGTGAGGTGCATGTGGAGGTGTATTTCGTATTGGAGACCTTCAGGAAACTTCGTAAGTACCTATCAATAATGAAATGAGATGTATGAAATATTTCGATGTAAAAACTACCTTCGTACTAGCCTTTGCTAGTTGACAATAGAATCTAAATCTATGTTGAAAGTTCTGAAAACCTCAAGAAAGATAGTCTTTCGAAAACTATCTGTATAATAAAACATTGTTTTCTTGCTTATAAAAAAATGGAAAGCTAAAAAGTTATAAATAGATGAACGTTTTTTTTTTCTTTTCTGATCAAGTCTCGCTTGTTAAACAATGTAATCTTGTTTGTAGCTCTAGCGCTGTGGGAAGATTCTTTCAAGTCAAGCCAACATTCTTCGGCCACATACAAATGTAATTCTCTCAGATACTGATGGCTTTTTAAGATATGAAATGTTTTCCTTACTGCACTAAGAATACTTCAATTGCCTTACGCTAAACGTACCATTTTCTGTTTTTGATTCCGTCAATCAAAACTCCGAACTTCGCCGAAATTTCTCATTTTCACCAAGAATCTTCCGATAAAATCGAAAATAAATCGCCATTTGACTTCGATTTTTATGTACGACACTTTGAATTTTCGGAGTTTTAGTAGACGGGAGAAAAAGCATGAGGTGGCCGATCACCGTTGCTCGAGTTCCTAAATTATGGAAATTGTAGCATACATGACTTGTCAAAAAAGTATACTGCTTCGTGTTTCTGCTCTAAAAAGCTGTCCAACAAACTTAACTTTGATGGATTTAATTCGCTTGTAAACGTTTGTATAAAGATGTTCTAAACGTTAGTAGTTCTTTGCGGACTGCTGTGTACTTCAACTAATGATGGTTGATCTTTGCTAGTGTCTTTACCTTGTGATAATAAAGCGTTTACCAACGAGTCTACTTTCTTTTCAAGTCTTTGAATATTGTCGGACATTTCTCGTACTTTCTCTTCCATTTGCGTCCGCCGACCTTTTTCGCTTTCACAGTCACTACAYGTTAGCTTAATGTCTGTAAGGACGGGATCTTCTTCGTCACCATCTTGATATCCTGACATTTGCAAATCTCCAATCGATTCATCATCTTCCTGTTCATCAAATTCATCTTCTTCTTCTGCACGAGTCGCGCTTCGCAAATCAGTAATATTGACAAATCGAGGTGAATGTACGCGTAAATTGTGATGCTCAGATTGGTTTCTGAAATCTTCTAAAGGTATAGGCTCTTCCTGAATACTTGATGTTTCTCCCGTTCTGCAGCCGAAGATCGGTCGAAGCCGGTACGTTTGGCTTACGAAGTGTCTCGACTCAAAATCGAGATGCTTTCGGTTTTTTAATTCCTTTTCGGATTGGATGAAATGGACATTTCCATTGACTGGCTCTTTCTATTAAAAAAAAAAAGAAAAAAAGATTAACCAGAAATTATAAATTATGTCTGTCTATGCAATGTGTAGAGTAATTTGTCGTCACAACTCTGAACAATTCAGCATTACTTCTCTCTCTGTTCTATGAACGATTATTGGCGGGGATCAAAGTAACGTTTATAACCGTTAATAGTGCATTTTTCATTTCATTAATGAATATATTTTTTCTCCATTTTCAAATTTTTTTTTTAACTTATTCATGCAACTTTACTGATTACCTCTTCCAAAGGCCAAGGGTCAGCAGTATCCATTAAGTTGAGCAAGAACTCATGAGTTTTAGAATAGGATTGCAAAACATCGGTTAACTCCTTYATCTTGATCACGTGACAATCGACACACGACGAGGCACGGAGACTGACGACGGACTGGGCTCTAGTTGATGCTTGTCTTAGAGTTGTTCCGAATGCGTCACCTTCAACTGCAAAATAATCAAGATTGATTGGCTGATTGATTAATTGATTGATCGACTGATTGATTGACAGACAATAACACTGATTGAGTCATTCATCTCATTATTTGAACTCATTAGCTTCGTAATTTGCAGGTTTATGACCTTTTCTCTTATGACACCATGTTTTTATTTGCGAATAGCATCATTATATTGATAAAGTAGCTTTTAGAACTAGAATTCTGGTCGTAAAATTGAACTTTATTACACAAATCTTACACTAAAGACTACAAGACAAACATGGCCGTTCTCTAACTAGCACATGGTTCCGCGCGCATGCCCGTACGTAATGACTGACGTGAGCATAATGAATATATAACAGTAGCAAGATCAAGTTTGTGTCGTCGGCTTCATAAAAACTACGGCAGGACGACTTGAAGTACACTTGAACATTAATAAAATACATATACGGTGTATTATAATGAGAAACTGCCAGTCCTTTTGCCATGTGGGATAGACTCGAAAATCAAATATGAGCATGCGAGTATGCGAGTAAAATACGAGCCTCAACAGCTTAATAAGTTTAGTTAGCTTGTTGATAAACTCACCAATTCTTCCTTTGTAATTTCCGTCCACAATTATCTCGATTTTTCCTCTCTTTACCAGGTGAAGAGTGTTCACCTCGTCTCCTTCGTACACAATGAAGTGGCCAGGAAGGTGATGGTGTCGACGCATGCGCATTGATATACTTCTTAAACAGCTGCTTTCAGCGTCATGGAAGAGGAAGGAGTTTGAGAGAACAGTGAGGTGCATGTGGAGGTGTATTTCGTATTGGAGACCTTCAGGAAACTTCGTAAGTACCTATCAGCCATGAAATAAGAACAATCAGAAGTTAGTTATG